AACAGAGGGTCAGATTGGCACGTGCAAGGTGGAAAAATGTACTGTTTACCGACGAGTCCCGTTTCCTACTCACACGTGCTGATGGGCGCGCACGTGTCTACAGACGTCGGGGTGAACGTTACGCCCCCAACTGTGTGCAGCAGGTTGTCCCATTTGGCGGCGGGAGTGTCATGGTATTGGCCGGAATTCATCACGGTGGTAGGACGCCTCTCGTGCATGTGGCAGGTGCATTGACAGGTGTGAGTTACAGAGACTGGATCCTACAGCTTTACGTTCTTCCTCACGTCAACGTTCATGGCGGACAGTTCCAGCAGGACAACGCTCGACCGCATATTGCACGTGTTTGTCAGGACTTCTTACAGCACAACAACATCCAGACATTACCTTGGCCAGCTCGGTCACCAGATTTGTCCCCGATTGAGCATCTGTGGGACGAGTTGGATCGACGCGTTCGCAGAAGGAATCCACCGCCCCAAACACTTCCGGTGCTTCTTGATGCACTTCAGCATGAATGGCAGCACATCCAACAACGTGTTATTGACAACAAAGTGTTTGTTTAGTAGCAACAATATAACTGTCGATGGATACAAATATATACTATGACTGTGTTGCTGCTGGCTGCTGTGCCAGTTATTTGAATCCTGGGCCTATAACCTACATCCATACTTAATAAAGACTCTAACTGTAAGCTGTCATGTTTGGTACCGTTTTGTTCATTTAGTAATGATCGATGATTGTGATCGATCATAGCGAACATCTGGTGTAATATGCACAGAGCAAATGCAACACGTTACATTAAATGGCGGAGCGTTTTTTTCAATAATGTTTTCATGCGACAGTTGTAACATATTCGTAAGAAGCGTACATGTGTGATGAATTGCGCTGACAAATCACCACCAATGAGGAGCTTCTGGTTGATTGTTCTCATGTCTTACATTCTTCAGAAAGCCACCGATAGTTGTGTGTCGACCTCTACGCCCTCATAATGCAGGTCCAGTGCAGGTGACCTTCTTTATTCTTGTGGTAAATATGGTAATCGAAAAGAACATGAGCAGACCCTCTGAATGAGTGCTGCGCATGTGTCGATGTGAGCACTTAGGTGGATGCCTTTGTTTATGGACGCGCATTCTGTCCCTTCTGCACTCCGTTTGTCCAATGTATTCTTCATGATTTTCAACTACATAATCACAAGTTCCACAATTTCCCCGTTTACATTTTGAAACACTGAATTCTGCAGACTTCATACATGAGTTGAATTTGATTTCCAGAGTTCGTTCCAAGTATCCCAAAACTAACGTAGCGTAAGTTGATGCTTTTTAGGGCCCATTGCTGAACCCTTATTTGTCTGTAATGTTCCCCATCACAATTAAACATATTGTTATTTAATATAAACTTAACACTTTCTGTGATAAGTTCCTTCGAAAATCTTGTCGGAAGTAGTTTCTTACTGTTTACTTTTGATCGTTTGAATGTCGGGTGCTACCGGCAGGACAGGACACGCTTAACCTCTTCGCGAACACCTGTTGTCATGACTGATTTTCAATGGTCCATTCATATAACTTTCTCTTTACGCATAATCAAAGACCGTACTAACAATAGAGCCGAAATAAATCTCAGCAGCATATGCCCTGACATGTCGTAATGTTAAATTAGAAAGGCGAAACGTTAAAGAAAGTGCTTTGCATAACGAGATTCAGGGACACTAGCTGGTTACACCAAAGCATTCGGTTGCGGTTGGTCACTTACATGAGCAATGTGGTCATGAGATAAGGTAAAATAATAATGCATACATGAAGATATAGAGGAATTGGTCGAAGAAATTTAAATATATCTTAAAAAGGAATGATTGCACTAAACATCTTGTCTGTGCACTATGAGAACTGAGGAACCAAGCATCAGTACTATCACACACACTGAAGTGATATAATGCTTGTTTTGTTGCCTTTTCCTCTGAAAAATCTATCTCTAAAATACTTCCAAGTTGTAGAAAGATATAGTAATGAGTAAAACTTGCTAACTCTAAATTATATGCGTTGTTTCTGATAGAGTTAATTGGCAGGTTATTGACAGCTTGATTGATAGAAATTATGAAGTCATAAGAAGAATTTTCTGCGCATTTCGATAACTATTTCTAATATCTTGAAGTATGATTGTTACTCAACCATTTTATAAGGATTGGCTGTTATAATTAAATAATCTATGCAGAGTCATACAGGTTATAGCTTTTTAGATTTTTACCTCGATCAAAGGATTACTATTGAAGGACACCAATCAATGACATCACAGATACCCGGTACAGATAATAGTGGCTAAATGCGTCGATATTTACCTGGATGTTACATGTACACATATATGTTGTACATATCAAGATGACTGATAACAACCAGACACTTAAATAGACATAGAATTTTTACATTAATTTTTCCTGAATATTCCTTCTTGAACAAAGAGCATATGGCAACTATTTGTATCTTCAGTCTCAAGTGACCGGAAAACCGACGACGTTATGTCACATCTCCCATCAGTAAATTCTATTTCACAAGCGGGGTACAGACATTTCCCCATGGACATTTCCCTACAGGACAAGTTCCCACCCAAAGTTGAACATTTCTCACCACCCTCACGTTTTGTTTGGCTGGCAATGAATCAGATGACGTTTTGTTGGGGGTACTAAGGATGCCTTTACCACAAACCGTAAATAAATAAACTGACTGAATATAGGATTCGTGTTCTTACTCATCACCGGGTGTGACCATGAAGACAGGGTCTCATTCTAGGGTTTGTGATTTTGTGATTGCCCAATTAGCATACAGATAATGTGTGCTTGCGGATGCCAAATGTAACAGTTTATAATTAGAGGAAATTGGAAGTGACTCCTTAATACTATATGGATGGGAAGGTTTTAGGATTTTTAATCCGTTCTTCCTCTGTGGGTAATTCTTTCACGCTGATAGATTTTTCAGTCGCCGTGTTTAGCCAATGTACCCTCACTTCCGAATTTCTTTTTAAAACAACATGTTCAACCGGGCGTAGAACAATAGAAGGATTCCACTTTTAGGGGTGGCTGACAGTGAGTTCAGTTCACCCTTCACTCTATTATATCAATCGCTTCCATAACTATTAACTGTGTTTATCAATCATATCAATGATAAATACGAACTGTCTCCATCAATTATCAATGATAACACAGTTCACTCTGTTCTTCAATCAGGTTCTAAATCTGACATAATTCAGCCACCGTTACTTTTTCGAGTTCCCGACATCCGCCATATCATCTACTTCTGTGAGCGTCTCAAAAGTCATCATCATCTTCATCATCATCATCAACAACAACAGCCTACCTCCACGCCAAATCAACCTACTCTAATGTTTCCCTTATACCACGGCTTAGCCCGATCCCTCGCCTACAGCCTGACGACAGTCGCCATTATTCGCTCACAGACACGACCCCCCCAACCCCCTCCCCCCCCCCCCCCCCCCCCACCCCAACCCCCTCCCCCACCCTCCTCTCCGTCATATTGGCCTTTCATCTCAAGCTTTATTTTCCCTCCCCAGTTTTGCTTCACTGGTTTCTTATCTTTGTGCATACTGGTACATGTGACCTCCCCCTCCCCCTACACAAAACATAAACCTCATCCCCCCTAATTTCGGCCTCGACCTGAAACTTTTAACTCCATCCTAGCCCATAAACCAACACCACACTCACTCACCAGCAAACACCCTAAACACACAAAACAGACCGGTCAGAAACGGCAAAACATCCTACATATCACCACCTGACCTACAACAAAACACCCAAAAGGCATGCTCCAAAGAAACTCCCCATAAATCTGCAAACCATAAACTCATCCTGCTAGCCTTCTCAATTACATCTACCACTCTACTAAATGAAACCTTGTCTACAAATAAATTAGCACTTTGCCTAAAAATCCAATATAAACTACAAATACGTCAACACTTGCGGCTAGGTATATTCATTAATAAAACTCACTGGACTATAACATCATTGACGCCCCAACCCCAAACCTTGAAATCCTGGCACTGAAAGAACCAAAATTACTATAATTAACTTATACAATTCTGAAACCAAACCCTTTATTAAGAACATTTAGATATATTACCAAATTATATCAACCCAAAACCCATATTCCCCGGAGACCTCAACGTCCACCACCCATTATGGGGCACAGAAAACTATACTGATAAATATTTCAGATTACTGGTAGAATGGCTTGATAGCAACGATTTCATAACACTTTACGACAATCAACCAACCCGTTACCATGGCCAACCCTCCATCTTCAAAACCCAACAGCAGTGGACATCATTGGACATATGTTTAGAAAAACAAGCTGGCAAGTTCATAATGACATTTGGGGCAGTGACCACCACCCAATAAAGTTTTCATGAAATATGTGTACCAAATCTACCCCAACTAAAGACCAAATTTCAGGGACCACCCAGTAAATACATTTCAGTTAAAAAAGGGCAAACTGGCAGCTATTCACAAAGCTATTCAACCAAGCTGATAAATTACAAATACATAACACAGATGTAGACACATCTAACACCAAGCCTACAGACAAACTACAAGACATAGCCATAACATTGCATACCCACCAGCAAAAATAATCATACACATAACACAGTTCCTTGGTGGAGCACTGAAATAAGTAATGCCAGACAAAAAAGTCTTTCAATAAGTCAAAAAGCGACCCTTCCAAATTACCTCTATTCATACAACTCTGAAATAAAACTACACAAGTCATAACGGCGTCAAGGAAAAAGAATACTGGCAATCTTTCTTTAAAACCATAAAATTGGCAAACATGTATTTTTGTGCGTGTATTTTTAGATTTTCAATTTCCATTCCTGTTACTGTTACAATGCACAATCATATAATATCATTGAAATGTGGCAATTGTCATTAGATAAACAGCAAAGCATAAGAAGAACCTTACTGTAATCCTTCTATATTGGATGAAGTTGTTTCTAGCACTTTATGGATTGTTAATCTTGATGTCCTGCTGGCACATGTAGTGTCCCTGCGGGTGCTTGGCAAGTCCCTCATGGAAGTCCCTCCCGTTACCGGGGAAGTCTCTCATGTTACTGGTGAAGTCCCTCATGTTACTTGGAAAGTCCCTCATGTTACTTGGGAAGTCCCTTGACTCACAAGGGAAGTCCCTCGTGTATATTGGGAAGTCCCTTATGTTACTAGGGAAGTCGCTCATGTTACTTGGGAAGTCGCTCATGTTACTAGGGAAGTCGCTCATGTTATTTGGGAAGTCCCTCATGTTACTTGGGAAGTCCCTCCTGTTACTAGGGAAGTCCCTCATGTTACTTGGGAAGTCCCTCATGTTACCAGGGAAGTCCCTTATGTTACTAGGGAAGTCCCTTATGTTACTATGGAAGTCCCTCATGTTACTAGGGAAGTCCCTCATGTTACTAGGGAAGTCCCTCGTGGTACTTGGGAAGTCGCTCATGTTACTAGGGAAGACCCTCATGTTACTTGGGAAGTCCCTCATGTTACTAGGGGGGAGGGGGGGTCCTTCATGTTACTATGGAAGACCCTCATGTTACTTGGGAAGTCCCTCATGTTACTAGGGGGGTCCTTCATGTTACTTGGGAAGTCCTTCATGTTACTAGTGAAGTCCCTCATGTTACTTGGGAAGTCGCTCATGTTACTTGGGAAGTCCCTCATGTTATTTGGGAAGTCCCTCATGTTACTAGGGAAGTCCCTCATGTTACTAGTGAAGTCCCTCATGTTACTTGGGAAGTCCCTCATGTTACTTGGGAAGTCCCTCATGTTACTAGGGAAGTCCCTCATGTTACTAGTGAAGTCCCTCATGTTACTTGGGAAGTCCCTCACGTTACTTGGGAATTCCCTCAGAACCTCAGAAAAAAATGCCCAACAGAAGACACAAAGTTGAAACGTTGTGTAAAATGGATTTAACTGTTGTGTATTGCAACATTGTTAAACCATAATACTTTCATTCTTTCAGACTAAGAAACATTGTGGAAATTACTTTTCATATTCGTTGGCAGAAATTATTTGGTATTTAGGCAAAAAATAACTGCACAGCAACGATGACAGCAACTTTTGTTTAGTGAATGTCTTTGTGGACATGTTAAACTGTTGTATGTAGGTGAGCTACAGTGCCAGGGCACTGTTTTATTTAATTTCCTTGTGTCATTGTGTATGATATTGCTCGCTATCCGACAACCGTTTCAACATTCTGTCACTGACATATGGTACACACAAGGACATAACATACATTGACTCTGTAAAAGCATGTAGTGGGCATGGACATTATGTAAAGGCTGACATTATCATGATATTCAATGAGAGATTATATCCAAATACCACATTTTCGAATTGGATCAATTCGTTTTTATCATGTCCAAACAAACAAAATATTTCGCGGGGGAAATAGAAACGGGCTTCGTCCGTCCATCATGCCTCGTTTCTTGAGCATAACACATTAACTGTTCAATATTTCTTCACAAATGCACATCAAGTAATCACTGAACGTTTGCCTTTTAATTTATGAAATCTATTTCTTTTCATTTTCAAGACAAGTTGTAATTAAGTTACCATGTGCGTACAGTCCATTTCCAAAGGTCATTTATAAATCGTTAATTCAATATCCCTTGGTGAAATCTTGTATACACATCAGATATCCTATATCGTAAAACCCTGTGTGACCTTCCAGCAACCTATGCTTATTTTAAGAGATGACTACATGTATTCGGTGGTCAGACTCCGTGGATCGTTTGACGTTATACCCTGACACTGTTGGATGTTGTTCATAATATCAAGCAACGGACTAGATTATTTTCAAAATAAAACGGCCACGACAATACATTTGGGATATTGATTAGTGCAACGCTAATAAACAAAGTAACATATCTAAAAGAGCGGGGGATGTGTATGGCATTGTCTGCTTGGTTGATTTTGTTTTCATTTTCAAAATGATTCAGGCTTTTTTTATACATGTATATATGTTCTTTTAAAAATTGTTACATCGTTTAATCAAAATATAATCTGTATGGTTTCATTATATATGCGTATATTGTAATATATTTTGGTGATTTAATATTATATTATAATTGTACACAAATGCTGTGTTAATCTATTACCATTGCATCGTGTCACCATGGTTTTACATTAAAAATTCAAATTACCCTTTCAGGAGAATACATAATCAGAGTGACACAAAATATATCGGTTGAATTCCTTGATATGTCCGGGGTATGTCCATCTAGCACAATTCATTTCCAGTGCACAATTTAACAAAATTCAACATATCTTCATGAAACTTTGTATGCAAATGATGAACTTTTATCAATTATTTCTAAACCCCATGCAACAGCATGCATTTTTCTTCTTCATCTTGATCCTATGACACTCGCCGACCAGAGTTGCCGTCCCTGATTCAACCCCTTTCCTCCTTATCGTTGTGACGTTTTGCGATCTTAGATCTCCTTAAAAATCGGACTCAGTTATGTTGGTAATCCTTGCTTGAAGGAGTATTATAATAATTACTTATTATCATCATAACTACTACCGATGTCTACACGACGCAAGCTCCAGCTTTTCCTCCACTTCAAAGCTACAGTACCTATGAGAGCCAAGAGGCCCCAAAGCACATTGACGTCCTGAACTGCTTTGCACCAGTCGACATGTCTTCCCGTTCTACAACAACTAGATACTCCTTACACAATGACATTCGGTCTTTCTCTTGAAAGGGTACCTTAGTCAAACCAGCTATATCTGCTTCAAGTGATCGCATCTTGGCCTACCCTTCATCGACCTTGGAACTTGACACTCACAAATGCAGTCCACTTCTGACAAACTCATGATTGACGAGAACACCTCATGACCATTGACAACGACTTATGAATGCTTCTCATGCGCTTTTCTGAACCGGATCATTCGTCACTGCGAAGCTTGAACGCCTTGATCCGCACTGTTCTTATTCAACGACGAGTTGGGTGCTTCCAAAGCCAAGATTCTGGCTAGTACTCACGCTGAAGTCGCTGTAGAGGCATTTCATGTCTTGGCTAAGAAAGGCAAAAAAACCTTCCCCTAATCATAAGAAATGTTGCTGAAAGCAGAGAGTCAATTGCGACTCCAGTATAAGCATATTGTTTTTATGAATCACTGTCAAACAGTGACGATACCAGGCGTTCTGGAACAGGTGCGCGTAGCCTGCCCCAGCCGTGGCACCCATCACAAACACATTCATAGGCGAGGCAATTGCTCACCTAAGAAAAGATGAGAACATATGGTACAAATAAATATGGTTGGGATGGGAGAACAGGTTATTGGTGTCTGTGGGTATACACGGGTGCCGACTTGATGGTTACAGTGTATTGATGGGGATGGGAGTTGAGGTTATTGGTGTATGTGGGCATACATGGGTGTCGTCATGACGGATACACAGTGCATTGATGGAGACGGGAGTTGAGGTTATTGGTGTGTGTAGGTGAACATGGGTGCTGACATGACGGTTACAGTGCATTGATCGAGATGGGAGTACAGGTTATCGGTCTAGTGGGTATACATGGCTGACGACATGACGGTTCATGTGCATTGATTGGGACGGGAGTTGAAGTTATTGCTGTATATGGGTATACATTGATTCCAACAAGATGGTAACAGAGTATTGGTGGAGACAGGACTACAGGTTATTGGTGTATGTGGGTATATATGGGTGCCGACATAATGGTTACATTGTATTGATTGAGATGGGAGTGGATGTAAGTGGTTTGTGTGGGTATACATGGTATGCCGACATGAGAGTTATATATTATTGATTGAGACGGGAGTACAGTTTATTTGTCCATGTGTGTATACATGGGTGCCGACATGATGGGGACAGTGTATTGGTTGAGACGGGAGTACAGGTTATTGCTGTATGTGTGTATACATGGGTGCCGACTTGATGGAGACAGTGTATTGGTTGAGACGGGAGTACAGGTTATTGTTCTATGTGTGTATGTGGGTATACATGGGTGCCGACATGATGGGGACAGTGTATTGGTTGAGACGGGAGTACAGGTTATTGCTGTATGTGGGTATACATGGGTGCCGACATGATGGAGACAGTGTATTGGTTGAGACGGGAGTACAGGTTATTGCTGTATGTGTGTATACATTGATGCCGACATGACGGTTACAGTGCATTGATGGAGACGGGAGTTGAGGTTATTTGTGTGTGTGGTTGAACATGGGAGCCGACATGACGGTTACAGTGCAATGATTGAAACAGGAGTACAGTTTTTTTTGTGTATGTTGGTATACCTGACGGTTACAGTGCACTGATGAAGACGGGAGTGCAGGTTTGTGGTGTATGTGGGTAAACATGGGTGTAATAGTTACGGTGTATTGATGAAGACGGGATGTGGGTATACATGGGTGCAGACATGATGGTTGCAGTGTATTGATAGAGACGGGAGTACAGGTTAGGTGTGTATGTGGATATGCATGGGTGCCAACATAATGGCTACAGTGTATTGACCGAGATGGGAGTCCAGGTTATTGGTGTGTGTCGGTATACATGGGTGCTGACATGAAAGTTACGGTGTATTGATGGAGAAGGGAGTAGTGGTTATTGGTGTATGTGGGTAAACATGGGCGCCGACATGACGGTTACAGTGTATTCATTGAGACGGGAGTACAGGTTTTTGGTGTATGTTGGTATACCTGAAGGTTACAGTGCATTGATGAAGACGGGAATACAGGTTATTTGTGTATGTGCCCACATAATGGTTGTGTAATATTGACTGTAGTTGGTGACATCGCCTAGGTGAACACTGCCAAGATGACTTTCGTTCATTTCCCGATGAACGTCAGTGTGTCACCTGATTACGTTGTCAATCGAGCGGAAACATACAGAACTACTTTAGGAGGTTTCCTCAATGTCTAAAAAATAACATTAAAAATCATTTGGGAAAACTGGGAGCGACATCGATTCAGGCTATGAATGATGCAGGCTTTGAAGCCAGATAGAGCATGTATAATGTTGAATCACCGACATGAAGCGTCCATTCGAACCTGTAACAGAGAATGCTCGACTTACCTAAAGAAATCACTGAGCTCCACGATGTTGTGTATTGCTTCGGGAAATCCAACCGCGCCGCCTCAAGCGATAATCCCCGTCATTTGCAGCCGCAGTATGACCCAAACACACACCCAAAGTTCACAAAACGTTGATATCAATCCATTTTCAGCTTCAGCTTGGTCTAGATCTGGATTTCTTCCCAACCTTAACTTTACTACATGTAGGTGCAAGTTGTATTTCAAGTGAGTGACGTATATGACATAGTTTGCTATAAAAGGGAGTCTTGGATGATCAATAACAAAAACAACTTGATTTTTCACTTGCCCTTCTTAAAAAACAAGGGCTGGTGGGCCATGGACTGAGTCTGTATGCTGTAAATAAGCGGAGTATCCATGTAAATCGGCGGCATACTGTCTCAGAGGGCAATGACTGAAAAACCGGCATAAGTCCGGACAAGT